AAGGCTTCACTAAAATAGTCCAGCCAGTCAGTAAAGAAATAAGCAAGCAAACAAGAAGAAGAAGACCTGGAAAAAATAAAATAATACTAATAATTAGCCATTTATATACCTTATTTTTTCATTTCCTACATCAGTAAGAATGCACTATTATAGTGACTATGAGTCACTGCAAAACTCCTTCTGAATTAAGTAAAAGATGAATCTGAGATATAACACATGTAGCCTCAATTAACTAGAAGTCAGTTAAATACTAAGTTCCATTTTCTAGTGATTTCCAATAAATACTAATTTGTTGAAATTATAAACATAAAAATATAAATGAGGTAAGGACAGGGATTTAATTTTGTTCACTTCTGTATTTCTAACACCTAAAAATATATATCTGGCTATAGGAAGTACTCAATACTTATTGAATAGATGGTAAAAATATCTAAGATTTATGCCTTATATGTAAATTTTAAAAAATCAATTTTACATTTAGAAACACTAGTTGGTTCAGAAGTTAAGTCAGATAGCTCTTTTCCTCCCCCCTCCCCCAAGTTTTTACTATTACTGCAAAATAAATTTTACCATAAAAACCCAATCTTTGTCTTTGGACATTGGAAATATTACATACAAACATCTGTGAGTGAAAATCTGAGAATAGTTACAATAACAAATTAAGGATTGCAATATTTTCTGTAGTACATATTACTAATGATAAAAACCCATTGCCATGGAGTTGATCCTGACTCAGAGCAACCCTATAGGATAGGGTAGAACTGTCCCATAGCCTTTCCAAGGCTGTAAGTTTTTACAGAAACAGACTGCCTCATGTTTCTTCCCCTAAGCAGCTAGTGGGTTCCAACCACTGACCTTTTGGCTAGCAGCTGAATGCTTTATCCACTATGCCACCAGAGGTCCTTACAACTTCAGCTAAGTCATCTTCTATCTACAGCACAACTTTTAACATTTTTAAAATAATTTCATTAATATTTACTGGATACTTACTGTGTTAGGCACCATTCAAAACACTTTACATGCTTTGACTCAATTCTGACAACAATCCCATGAGATAGATGAAATTATTATTCTCGCTTTTGAGATAAGGAAACCAAAAAACAGAGAGGTCAGACATTTCTGCCCAACATCAGACAGTAAGTAGAAGGCTGCACTATGACTCCAAATCAAGAAGTGGGCTTCCAGCACCCACAGCTTTCATCACAAGCTGTACTGCGTGCCAATTTCTCGGTGCCTCAATTTACTTGTGAGGATAACAGTATCCACAGGATTCTTTGTGAAGACTAAATGATATAAGCAATGTAAAAATACTTTGTAAGAATCAAGGACTATATAATTAATTTAAAAAAATAAATTTCCTTCCCTAAGAATTTTACATAAACCATTCTCCCTTATGAACTTTGTTTTTTAAAAACCAGCTCAAACTGTAAACTACACTGTACTGTAGCCTTTTTTGAGCAGGACAGGAAGGTAGCAAAACCAAAACCAAACTCGCTGCTATAAAGTCTATTCCAACTCATAGTAACTCCTCTTTGGGTACGGAAGTAGATTGTCCAGTCTTCCTTCCCGGAGGTAGCAAGTCAGTGTAAAAATTCATTCAAAATAAATGGAAACCAATGTAGTATTATGGAATCATTTACTTACTGCTGTGGAGTCAATTTCGACTCACAGCGAACCCTCCTTGGGTTGCCGAGGCAGTATCACTACGGGAGTAGATTGCCCCATCTTCCTTCCAAAATGGGATCATTTAGACTCTTACTAAATATAAAAAATCAATGCAGAATAGACTTACATAATATCCATGAATACTAAAACAAAGTTATGAAACATTTGAGAGTTAATACCAAAAGATCAATGGATTATATGTTTTCTAAATATACCTCAAAGCAACAGAAATTTATATAATCTTAATGGGAAACTTCTGTTTTGGCCAAAGTTTTCAAACTTTCTGGTTTACAGGATAAATCATATGTGGGCTAACTGTAGATTAGATTATTATTTTTTTCTAGTTATTATTTACTTGTTACAAGAATTACATGAATAAGGTATAGTGAAACTCTCCTTCATTAACAATCAAAGTATCATTAAAAAGCCACAATAGTACAGTAAATAAATTTCAAATGTCTAGCTATCTCACCAACTGTCAAGTCAAACAACTGTACAAATATACTTATGACTGTAATAGTTAACACTTTATTTATGCCCATAAACTGTGAAACACTTATTAATGCCTGTACTTTATCAACTATAATTTGTTGGCTCTATTTTTTCCTATTCACACTAAGAATTCAAAGGATGGAAAAATATCTTTATTAGTGCTATTCTGATATATTTTCAAGAATGGACTTAATGAATTTTGGGAAAAAAAAAAAATAGCCTAATGAGGTAAAAGTCAGTAGACATGGGTTCTACTCCTGTAAAAGTAGGATTAAGTAGCTGACTAGGCAAAATTCCCATTAGTCTGTGCAAATCAAAAAGAGTAGATCTCTTTGCTCTTTTGTTTAAAATAATAACCTCAATCCAAGGTCCAGGATCTTATTAGAGAGAGGGAGAGATGTTTATAACTCAATCAGTAAATGTGCTCACTGATCTTCCATGGACTAGGACTTGAGTACATAAGAAGCATCAAACTTAAGCGAAGGCTATAATCAGTAGTAGTAGTGATAGCAGTAGTTCAGTAGTAGTAAATACTAAATAATGTTGTTGATAAGTTTCATCCTCTATTTTATACTGGTGACAAAAAAACTTTCTTAGTAAACATTTTTATTGGATGAGCTATGAAGGCAGCTATGAGTCCTAGATCAAGATTTAGGAGAAGAGGACCATTTAGAACTGCTAGCTGTGTGGATGTGGACAAGTCATTTCACTGCCTTCACTTCTGCTTCTTCCTTTTTAAAATGAGTACCATGGCCAGTTACTAGATGGTCTGTACAGCCAAAACCAGCTTCCCCATTCCTATTCTAATTACATTGAGAGGCAGAGCCCTCTGTACCAGAATTCTGTATTCCAAATAGCTTATCATTTGTTCTGAGTCTACATTCTGCTGCATTCTATTTGATAACTATCTATTCCTCATAAAGATACTGAAAGAAAAGGAAAAATGCTGACTTTGTGGTTTGAACTCTAAAAGTGTTAAATAATTCAAGTTATTATCACTAGTTTAAAATGACTAAGCAATCAGGGAAAGACTCAAAAGTATATACTTTCAGGTACATGGCTCATAAATTCATCTAATTCCTAACATCTATGTATTTTATTAGGAATATTCATCTAAGTATTATTCTATTCCAATATGTAAACCAAAACCTAGCCAAACCCACTCGGTAGTGAGGATCCATCTCATAGCGACCCTATGAGGCAGAGCAGAACTGTCTTTTCCCACCCCCGCAAGAGAGTTTCCAAGGCTGTAAATCTATAAGGAAGCAGACTGCCACATCTTTCTCCTGCGGAACTACTGATAGATCCCAACCACTTACCTTTAGCTTAGAGGTTGAAAACTTAACCACCAGGGTTTATTATTCCAATATACCATATCAAAATCAAACCCACTGCCATGGAGTCCGATCTGACTCATAGCAACCCCTCCTTGGGTTTCCGAAGTGGCATCAATACGGAAGTAGATTGCCCAACCTTCCTTCTGAGAAGTGTCTGGTGGGTTTGAACTGTCAGTCTTCTGGTTAGCAGTCAAATGCCTTAGGCACTACGCCACCAGAGCTCCCTATTCCAATATACGGACACTAAAATCTTGAAATATGCTTATTTAACACAAAGCTTATCAGCAGCGACACTATTGACATTTTGGGCCTGATAACTCCTTGTGGTGGATGGGACCTCCATTCACTAAAAGTATCACAAGCACCACGCCAAGTTAAGGAAATCAAAACTGTCTCTTTCTAGCCAAATGTCCCCTAGAAGCCACCCCCTACCCCCACCCCCACCCCCGCACACCTTGGGCATAATCGTCCCCCATAGAGAACCATCAACTTAAAGGAGTAGCTCATTTTTCATAGGGGCATTTGACATTGCTTCCTTCCAGACTAAAAATATCTTAATAAAAATGTTAATCTAGGTTAGAAGACAGAAGCTGCTTCCTGGAGATGAAGAAATATACAAAAGATTTGCAAAGCCTCTGCCCAGTTTGATCAATAGTGGAAAGGCAAGCAAATAGAAGGCAAAGCACTCCTTGATCAGACTACTTCTCTACCTTTACAATGAACTAGGTATATTAGAAAAAAAAATTCATATATAAATGATTTGAAAGAGGAAGGTTGAAACTTTGAAGAGGAGTAATCAGTTCTGAAGGCATTTTCAGCCAAGAGGTGGACGCCTCTGAACAGCCCTTAAACCCGCCCGTAGCCGGCTGGCAACAGGGGGGCCTCCCGGTGCTGGGAGCCGGAGGAGCTCCCGCCACGCCCACCGGACGTCACCCGTTACACAACGCCCCCCCCCCGCAAGCTTATGCAATCCTGCCCTCCCGCGGCTCCAATTGCCCTGGTGACTTTTGTGGGAGAAGGTAAACGTTTCACGCCTAGCCTCGGCTGGGGGCCTCTCCCGCCCCGGCTGTTGTTCCGAGGTGGACTCAACATCGCCCAAGCGGCGGTGGCCAATTACCGGAAAGAGCGCGGCAGGAAGCAAGCAGCCACTCTAGTTCGCCCAACTCGCGTCCCATCGCGCGTTCGGGCGGTCTCTGGCCCCGGTCACCCGTTCAACTCCGGAGGTGCCTGCCCAACCGCAAAGCGGTGGTGGCCAAACGCCCCAAAGGCGAGGGAACTCCATAACCGTGTGCCCCTCCCTGCGCCGCGTCACAGTCGGCTTCGAGGGCGATCCCCATTGTGACCGAAGCACTCCAGGGCACCGCCCCTCCCACCCCAGTCAGGACCCCGAGACCCGAGGGGCCAGAAAGCCGCCTCGAAGCCTCAAGGGTATAGAGACGAGCTCTGGGTATCCGGGCTGAAGGGGAAAGGAGGGTGGGGTCGTCAGGGCCCGCGCCGCATCCCCACGCGGTCACCTGCTCGCAGCGCCTCGCAAGCGGCAGCCAGGGCCTCCCGGTAGCGTCCCTGGTGCAGCAGCTCCCCGAGCCGGCCGGCAGCCCGGGCCCTCTCCCGCAGGCCCGGGAACCACTTCTCAGCCAGGTGATTAAGAACGACACTGGTCCTGAAGCCTGAGGCGGTGATGGCGGCGGCCAGGGGCGGTGGCCGCGACGTGGTCCCCTCAGCATCAGTGGTGGCAGCGGCGGACGGCAGGCGGTCCCGGCAGAGGCGGCAGTGAGCGCGGAGCTCTCCCCGCAGGCAGCGGCGGCAGTAGCTGTGGCCACAGGGCACGGTCACCGGCTCGCTCAGAAAGCCCTGGCAGCCCAGGCAGCTCAGGAGCCCACCGGTGCCGGCGTCCGTGCCCGCAGCTGGGGCCGCGCTCCAGCCCAGCCCGTGGCGAAGCCGGTAGTTGAGCACCAGGCAGTCGACCAAGGTGCCGAGCCGCTCGGGCCTCACCGGGGCCCCACGGCGCAGCGCCGCCGAATACGCCTCCAGCGCTCCCTTCAAGTGGCCGCCCAGCGCCAGCAGCTCGCCGCGGCGGAGCAGCAGCTCCCAGCGCTCCGACTCCGCGGCCGCGCGCTCCAGCCGGTCGCCGCTGCCACCGCCCACTTCCCAGAACTGGCCGCGATTCCGCGGCCT